TTCAGATAATTATCAATTTGTTCTGTTTAGTCGAGAAAGTCCGTTCCACCTGAAGATATGTTGAGGTGGAAGTCGGCTAAATAAGTGAGGTTTGCATTTGGAGGTCTGTAACAACATCCGACCAACAAAGGTTTCAAGTGAGGTCAATGAAGCACTTCAATATCAGCAGACCTCAAACCCTCTCTCACTTCAGCTGGTGTTTGCTTTTGAATGCCCCCCCCCCCCTCCGTCTGCACTCCTTTCTAAATATTCTATATCCATCAATGTGCAGCGTCATCACATGTGTCATCTCAGTGAGGTTCAGATATCGCTAACAAGTGAATACCACATGATAATATGTCCTCTATTTCTTAGACTACATATATTTATATGAGCCAATTCAAACCCTTTACTTGATGACTCCTTCAACATTAAGGTCTGTCTCTCAGGTGTGTGTTTACCTGTCTGTCTCTCAGGTGTGTGTTTACCTGTCTCTCTCTCAGGTGTGTGTTTACCTGTCTGTCTCTCAGGTGTGTGACTCAGAGGACCCTCTCCTCCACTTCCTGTTGTGTGTGTGCAGCAGTGAGGTGGTGTGTCGTCAGATGTCTCTCACCTGCAGGAAACAGAACGCTCAGAAATCAGAAGGTAATGAAACTCACCTGTGAACTCACCTGTGAACTCACCTGTGAACTCACCTGTGAACTCACCTGTGAGCTCACCTGTGAGCTCACCTGTGAACTCACCTGTGAACTCACCTGTGAGCTCACCTGTGAACTCACCTGTGAACCCACCTGTGAACTCACCTGTGAACCCACCTGTGAACTCACCTGTGAGCTCACCTGTGAACTCACCTGTGAACTCACCTGTGAACTCACCTGTGAACTCACCTGTGAACTCACCTGTGAACTCACCTGTGAACTCACCTGTGAGCTCACCTGTGAACTCACCTGTGAACTCACCTGTGAACTCACCTGTGAGCTCACCTGTGAACTCACCTGTGAACTCACCTGTGAACCCACCTGTGAACTCACCTGTGAACTCACCTGCAGAGCGCCGGCCGTGATGATGAGCTTCACCTTGTCTGTTTCAGAGATGAAGAGGTTCAGCCGAGGAGACCGAGACTTCATGACCAGAGTGACTCCGCCTCTGAAGCTCACCTGTACACACATCAACTCTGACTGACCTCACCTGTACACATCTCAACTCTGACTGATCTCACCTGTACACACCTCACCTGTACACACCTCAACTCTGACTGACCTCACCTGTACACGCATCAACTCTGACTGACTACACCTGTGCACCTGTACACACTGACTGACCTCACCTGTACACACTGACTGACCTCACCTGTACACACTGACTGACCTCACCTGTACACACTGACTGACCTCACCTGTACACTGACTGACCTCACCTGTACACTGACTGACCTCACCTGTACACTGACTGACCTCACCTGTACACACTGACTGACCTCACCTGTACACACTGACTGACCTCACCTGTACACTGACTGACCTCACCTGTACACTGACTGACCTCACCTGTACACACTGACTGACCTCACCTGTACACTGACTGACCTCACCTGTACACTGACTGACCTCACCTGTACACACTGACTGACCTCACCTGTACACACTGACTGACCTCACCTGTACACTGACTGACCTCACCTGTACACACTGACTGACCTCACCTGTACACACTGACTGACCTCACCTGTACACTGACTGACCTCACCTGTACACACTGACTGACCTCACCTGTACACACTGACTGACCTCACCTGTACACTGACTGACCTCACCTGTACACTGACTGACCTCACCTGTACACACTGACTGACCTCACCTGTACACTGACTGACCTCACCTGTACACTGACTGACCTCACCTTTACACACTGACTGACCTCACCTGTACACGCATCAACTCTGACTGACTACACCTGTGCTCACCTGTACACACTGACTGACCTCATCTGTACACTGACTGACCTCACCTGTGCACTGACTGACCTCACCTGTACACACTGACTGACCTCACCTGTGCACTGACTGACCTCACCTGTACACACTGACTGACCTCACCTGTACACTGACTGACCTCACCTGTACACACTGACTGACCTCACCTGTGCACTGACAGGAAGTCGTCCACAGCTCACCTGTCCATTAGAATGTATAATCTCAGATGTACAGAATATGTTGATATAAATAAAGAAATCTTCACGTTGTTCTCATGAAATCTGTCTCAGCTGTTTGCACACCTGACACACAGGTAGACACACAGGTAGTCACACAGGTAGACACACAGGTAGTCACACAGGTAGTGAAGTAAAAAGATATGATTCTACACTGTATTGAAGTAAACATGTATTATTTTGAATTGTATTTTAGTGAACATGTATTGTTTGAACTGTTTTAAGTAATCACAACTGTTTTAAGTAATCACATATATAGAAATGATATTCTCTCTTACAACTCACTGACCCAGAGATCCTGTTTCACACACACACCGCTCCTTTTCACCAGCGCACACACATGTTCTTTTTTCAAGGTCCTTATGGACATCATTATATTTGTGCACAAAGGTTTAATTGTATGAAAGAATAGTTTATGTGAAAAACTCCCATGGGAAAGTAAGGGAGTGGATATCGGGGCAGAGATAAGATTGACTTTGACCTTGTGAAACTTTAGAATCTCACGTTCTGGTCAGAACTCTGATTCGCTGTATTGAACCCGACCAGGAGTGAATCCAACCAGTAAAAACACCTGGGGGATGTGAGCAGCTCACACAGCTCCTCCTCACGGACTCTCTCATTCGCTTTGGAGTAAAAGGGGAAGGGAAAAGTCAACCCATCTCCGCCCCAAAATATGATTATGAATACTGTTGTTTTTGAATGTAAAATGCTTTCTTGTTTGGTGAGTTGGCAGGTCCCGATATCTGTGTCCGCATCGCATCACAAACCTGAAGTCAATTTCTTCTTGTTTGGTGAGTTGGCAGGTCCCGACACCTTTATCCGCATCGCATCACAAACCTGAAGTCCGGAGTACTCTGTATAACTTGTATATGTGTTTGGTTTCCTACCAGAAGTAAACTCAGATAATTGTTATAACTTTTGATTCCGGTGTTTTCAATTCCTTTCTTTATTTAATAGAGATTCAGCCTCATCCAACGAACGGCGCGTAGCAGAGCCACCACAATAGGTGTTCTGCTCCAACAGTAGTCACACAGGTAGTCACTCACACAGGTAGTCACACAGGTAGACACACAGGTAGTCACTCACACAGGTAGTCACACAGGTAGACACACAGGTAGTCACACACACAGGTAGTCACACAGGTAGACACACAGGTAGTCACACAGGTAAACAAAGCAGGTGTCTCTCCATTCATTTTAAAATGATCAGTTGTTGCATTGTTTCAATATAAATATATACATGATGATCCAAACACAATAAGTATTAAAATAACTCATTATTTTCTGAAGCTCTTTGGTTTCTAAAAGTAAACAAAGTGTATGTAGTGACTGCAGTGCTGATGCTGACCCTGCAGGGGGCGCTGCAGCTCTCTCTCATCCCTTCACTCTGAGGTGAGTTTGTATGGCGGCAAAACTCTGTCATAAATCGCGAGGGCATATGAGATCCACGCGAGCACAAGTCAAGCAGCCGCGGACGTATATTATTTTCGCGAGCACTAAAACGGCACTCGCGCGAGAGCAATATTGAAGCCTGCAGGGGAGAAACATGCCTTGAGCATGTGCAGCATCTACATGAGCTCTCCTTGCTCTCCTGCGCTCTCGCGAGCAATTCCTGCTCTTCTGCTCGTGAAACTCTGGCCTGCTCTCACTCGCGGAGAAATTTTAGGAAGTGGGCGTACCGTGTCCCAGTAACGCCAAATCTAATTGGTTACACCCCTCCTCTTTTATGATTGGCCGTTGTCTGGATTTAAACCAGGAAGTACTGTTTGTCCCTCTCCAAACCATGGATGTATAATAAGAGCTCCAAACCTGCTCCAAACGTGATGAAATATGGCTGTGGAAACGTCTCACGTAAGTTACTTTACTTTACTAATGATTGTTTTAATTAAAGGCATGCTTTTGTATTCTGTGGTTATTCCACAAGAGCCGTCCTTACTTATAAATGGATTGAGTTTTTTTAGATAATACATTTTTATACATATTTTTAAAGATAAGAACCAATTACCTTTTCGGTCTTGACATATGATAATATAAAATGTAGCTTTCAAAAACTGAATTTGGAATTAATAATTTTGATTACTTTAGCAAAATATTTTCACAAATGTCGCTTTTTCAAAATGTCCCCAGTTTTTATTGCCTTTCTCAAAGAAATAATACTACACAAAAAAAGTATAAAATGATGCAAATGTAAAAAAGCCCAAGAATTTTGCAAGTTTCTTGGCACTTTAATTTCTGAATGACCACTTTTTTTTCTGTTCAAATGCCCTCAGCTTATTTTTTGGAATGTTTATGATGAACATTGATGTTTATGTGCCTTATTCTGTATTTAACATAATTGTTTCAATAAAGATTGACCACATTTCTTAAAAATATAATTAAATACAAATAAAATAGTGAATAGATAATTGTGGTATAGCGTCATAACTGAATTAACAAACTCTGACCAGAAGGAAATATTAGCTCCACCTGAAAAAAGGACTGTTACACCTTAGTTAGGGTTTACAAACACATATATTCAAGGAATCTTCCTCAAGTATTAATTTAGTTAATTAAAGTGTACTTTATTTTTCTTCACAGCATATTCTGAAACGGCAGATCCTGGAGAGACTCCTGTCGAAGTTTGAGCTTGCACTCATTCGAGCACCACTTGACCTGGATTTCCTGGAGTTTGCATGTCGCCAGGAGCTGTACCTCCTGCAAGCACTTTCGAGACATGTTGACATACCGCAAAGAATAATCCAAGCTCTTCAAGAGCTGTTTGGACTACTTAGGCAATATTTCTATTCAGATGCCCCAAATACAGCAGTGGGATCAGTTATTGGTCTAAGAGGACGTCCTAAGTTTGAAATTGAGAGGCAGCAGTTGGTTGAGATGTTGGGGACAAACCTATCGGTGCCTTGCATTGCAAAACTGCTAGGTGTTTCTTCCAGTACAATCTTTAGAAGGATGAGAGAGTTTGGCTTATCTGTTTCAGAACTTTATAGCTCCATCAGCGATGAGGAGTTGGATAACGTGGTCATATCTATCAAGAATGACATGCCCACTGCTGGATACCGAATGGTCAAAGGACGGTTGTTATCTATTGGTCTACGTGTACAATGGACAAGAATGGCTGCCTCAATGCATCGAGTGGATTCCATAGGCATCCTCTCCAGACTGGCTAGTCTGGGCTGTGTTGTGAGGAGAACATATTCAGTGCGAGGGCCTCTCTCGCTTGTGCACGTGGATACCAACCACAAATTGATACGGTAGTGGTATTTATATTTCGCTAAGTGATTAAGAAATAATCTCTTTGTAATGTCCCAGATTTGGAGAATCGGTGTTTCAATTCCAGAGTGCTATAATAGTTTGTTCTTTGGTTTTTCAGTTATAACATTGTCTTATTTGGTGGAGTGGACGGGTATTCGAGAAAGGTAAGACTGCATTTCACTTCAGTAGACACACATTAAACAAACATGTATTTTTTGTACGAGTTTACTGCTAGCTACTTAAAACCACAAAAGAGGTCCCAACGCTGTGTCCTGGCTTTGGTCCAAATGGAGAAAGTGTATGGACTAAAAAGGAAGCAGCAAAGTCAAAGTAGATATAAAGGAGATTTTGTGCATTGCCTATTTTTGCTGCACAAGTATTATGAGTCAGTATACTGTATGTCAGTATTGTTTGCTTATTTCTATTGCAACAGGAATTCTTTAATCTCTGCATTTTTTCCCCTATAATACACAGTTTAACAGAATGTTGTCTAGTTATTGTGTGTAATTGCCCTATTCTTAAATATTCTCTGCAGGTAATGTACTTGGGTGCTTCGACCAACAACCGTGCGTCAACAGCCTATGGCTTCTTCCTAGAGGCAACACAAAGACATGGAGTGCCTTTAAGGTGAATTCACAGAAAAAAGCACACTCTTTGGAGAGCTAGCTCAATACTGTGACACTTTTGGATGAATATTTTCTTTGACAGTCCTTTAGTCAACTGTGTACATTTCAGGGTCAGAGGAGACCAAGGAGTAGAAAACGTACAGATAGCGAGATTCATGTTTTCGGTTCGCGGCACCGACCGTGGAAGCTTCATCTCTGGTAAAAGTGTTCATAACCAGAGGTAAATTGCAGCATCTCTAGTAACTCAATTAGTGAGGTGGAATTATCTGATGTGTAGACCAAGCACCTTGCACTTAACCCATGCTAGGCCAGCATGAAAATAGATCACTTGAACTGGTTTTCCCTAAACCATGTATTTTCATCCATAGGATTGAGCGTCTTTGGCGTGATGTACGAGTCATTGTCACCAACAAGTACTCTGCGATACTGCTCTCCCTCGAAGAGGATGGTCTGCTCGACATCTCATCAACAGACGACCTCTTCTGTGTGCACTACATTATTCTTCCCCGACTTCAGATGGACTTGGGGATTTTTACAGAAGGCTGGAACCATCATCCACTCAGCACTGAACGGAACCAATGTCCAGAGCAGTTATGGCAACTTGGACTGATGCAGACAAACATTGATCAGCCGGAGAGCCCTGAGGTATTGATCTCGTTTCAGCATTAACCTCTCATTGTTAGAAGCCTAGTTACGTTTATTGGATTGTCATTGAAGATATTAATTACTTACCATTTACTTTGTGTAATATATATTGTCAAAATATTACTTTCTTTCCCTACTCTTGGCATGACCATTTTCTGGGCATTTTATTCAGTTTGTGTTATTTTAACTTTGTAAAAAATAACACGAACTATTACTTGATGTCATTGTTCCACTTTGTTTATAAGACATACATTTATTTCACCCAAGTGTTCAAAACCTCTGTTATGGTTATTAGGAGCCAGATGTTGACTGGGAAATTGCTGCTGACCACGATGGAGAAGAGGATGCAGGGATTGTCGTCCCCGAATTCGACTGCCCTTTGAGTCCAGAAGACATAACTGAACTTCAATCAGTATTTCAGCAAATTGACCCAAACACTCCGGTCAAGGAACTGTACTTACTCTGCCGTGAGTATGTAGCTGAAAGATGTGGCTCTTAAGAAATACAGCTCCCTTGAATGACACAGATGAGGGTAAACCTAGCCTTAAGCCTCATAGTAGGAATATAATGGGGAAACAGTTTAAGTTAGTAAGGTGTATTATATGTGTATTACAGTGACTATAAGAGGTGGAAGAAGTACTTAACTAAAAGTAGAAATACCTAAATGTAACAATACTCTGTTCCAAGTAAAAGTCCTGTGTTCAGTGTTACTTAAGTAAAAGTACCAAGAGTAAAGTTACTTGGCACAACTGGTGACAATTGAAACAACAATCGACACAAAATACAGCTCAAAAGTATAATGGTTCCCCAACTTCACCATTTGTTTCAAAAACATTTTGACTGGAACAGTATGTGATGTCACTTGAAAGTTTGACTGTATAGTAACATTCTCATCTTGAACAAATGAAAACCTTGTCAAATAAAGTGCAATAAAGACTGTTTTAACAGAAAACATCGATTCTATGAATCTTATGAACGACTAAACTCCCTGCTACTTATAACAGCCTGTGTTATAATGCTCAGGAACTCCGGATATGAGCCGAGGTGCCTTGTCGGAAAGGTAATAGAGTTGGAGCATGCATTAACTACTGGAAAGCATACAGTGTGTGTACCATAGTGCACGCTGCAATCGTGGTCGAATTCAATTAGGATTTTAAATCTCTCTCTCTCTGTTGAGGTGATGGGGACATGTGCCTGCCCCGTAAGCCATTGAAGGAAGCAGCCAACAGTGATCTTGTGTTTTTCCTTCATCTCCTCTTCATCTCTCGCCGGTTCAACTGTAGACTCTGTCTCTCTTGAGTCTCCATCATCAAGATCACTCTCTGTTGTTATCTTCACAGGGGTCCCCCTCTCTTCAACCACGAAGCTCTTTTCTTCCTCTTAAAACAAGTTGAAAGTTAATACAAAGAAATGCATATCTTCACCTAAGCAATGTCAATAAATATGGCTATTGTTTTTAAATTGTTTTTTATGTGGATATTTTGAAGAAGAAAACCTCATTAGCCAGTCCTGCTTTAGTTATCATTGTTTCATCGCAACTATCATGATGCAAAGTTGTGTTTAAACTGAGACATGTAAACATGAATAAAACAGGTATACAAAGCTGTCATTGAGTTGCCTGTCGTAATCGGGGGTACAATTCAAGAACAAATACGTTTATAAAATGTCAGGGCAGTAGTATCACCTTCATCTTCAATGTTTTGGATGAAGTCTTGCAAAAAGTTTACAATCCTCGATTCCCTCTGGCGTCGCAGCGAGCCCAGCTCACTGAAGACTGGAGATATGGCTCCCATCAGGAATTCAGCATCCGGCTTGGAGAGAGGAAACAATAAAATGGTGTATGCTCAAAGTTGGATGAGCTTAACCCTTTAATTGCCAGACCAAGAAAAAAAGCTATGGAAAAATTATTAGTTTGCATTTTTTTATCAAATGGGCCACACATAACCAAACACATTTTTTTAAAAAGGTATCAATATTGATATTGATATAAAAAGTAATGTTAAGTGTTTTTCATAATAAAAAAAGACTTGCTCATCTTACTGTAGATGCTGAATTGGCCTAACAAGAAACCACTGGCCTAACAGCAAATGTCTACATCCTGTGTTGGCCTAACTTGCTCATCTGTGTGCAACTTTGGGCTGAATGCCATGCATGAAAGCTGCTTTATGAATTATTATCACTCTTTCACTCTGAGACTCATAAGGCAGTACTAGATGTAGTAATATTACCACGAATCTAGCCATTTATTTACCATATTTTATTGAAAAACATCTCTGAAACTCTGAAAAAGTCATATTGCTAGTTTACCATAAAAGGCCAATTCCACCGGTTGGTTGAGCATATTTTCAAAAAAATAATTACACCCTTGTTAAAACTTTTTTTGTGCATCAAGTTATCTAAATATGTACACTCGGTGCTCTGACACTAAAATATGTCAAAGATTATATGGTTACCTTACAAAAGTTGACCAAAAAGAGTGATTTCTTCAGCAGTGATTTTTTAGCATGCCAACTTTCTCAGTGGAAGCTAGCTGAAGGGCTTTCTGTTCAAACCACAGTGACATCTAGAGGTTGTTTTGTGCATAACATGTCAACCAAAGGGTAGAGCTGGCTGAATCAGATGGAGTTACACTTTAAAAAAAAAAATGTCAACAAAATATCAAGACACAAAATGTGCTCTACCAAATGGTGGCGCTGGCTGTTAAAAGGTTAAGGTTTGAAATGCAGTGGTAAAATCAGCTAGAGACATAATACTGACCTTTTCATGAAGGCCAGGGACGAACAGATCCCTGAAGTTGTGTGGTTGTTGTACAATCATCCCGCACAAGCCATACAGCTTCATGCCTGAGCATATCTGCTGCAGCATTGGTAGGATGCGGACCGATGAGTGCAAGATAATTGCCCTATAATTCAGTAACAGATAACAGCAATAATATAAAATCATACATAAAAAAGGGAAAGAGTGACTGCACACTCAATATGAGTGTAAAAGAATAATTGATTGGTTTTAAACATGGGTTGTTATGGGTTAAATCACTTAGCATATGCACATACTTTATTATTTCTTCCTTCCTCTCCCACGTTGCAGGACCACTGTACCCGCATGCTGTTATCCGATCCAGAAGGTCGTACATAGCTTCAGGTTCAGCCATCTCAACCTTTGCAATTGGAAAAACAGCATCACACAGTAAGTCATGGGAGCCTTAGCTTATTTTAAGAATTAGAGAATATTCACACTACAAAGAGGTGTGTGTGTGTCAACCATACTAAAACAAACTTCATGTTATATGAAGGAGTATCTGAGGAGAAGAAAAATATTACCTCTTCCATAAGCTGGCTGAGCTCTGGATCAGTCACATCTTCCTTGGAAATGGAATCTCTATCCATCAGCGACGTGCAGTCAGTGGAGGCAGAGCCTCACCTGTCATACTCCAATGTAACGGAAAAACAATTAAAGAAAAACTAAATAGTAATAATAATAAAATGTCTCCACTGATCTGTGTAAATGTGATTTATGTATGATTCCAATCGCTTTTTATAGTCAAAATCAGCTAATTTGCCGAGCTCTGCTACGGGAGCGATGAGAAGTGAGGCAGGGACGAGCACTGCCTCTCGTAAGCCCACAGTAACTTGCTGGAGCGCGGGCACTAATTTAGCGCGGCCACTTATTTTGTGAGTGCGCTCCAGCCAGTTACTGTGGGGTGAGCTGAGGCACAGATGAGCTCTGCCTCACCTCAGAATGCATCACCCCACAGAAACTGGCTGGAAAGCAGGCCCTCAGCGCATGCCTGTTACCATCTCCCTGTAGGTCACCAATGTAATGTTTGTAGATCCCTTTATTACATTTATCCTCGCCATCCATAGTCTCTAAATAACTTATTTCACGTATATATGATATTTAGGCTCGCTGGTCTCATCGTACAACGGCAATGAAAAAATCACAAGGGGAGGCAGCCATAACCTCTGCCGCACTGAAGGGGGCGCATGTGAGCCCACAGGTTCTTGTTGCTACTGTTATTCTACCGCAAACAACAAACTAGACTTTTGAAACTAGAGGGAGATAAGGACGACTTTTACAAAACAGTAATAGAGATTGTTGTCCAGAAGGATAGCATGGACTTCATCTTCAAGTCAAGGTAAGACCACAACTGTAATGAACATGGGATCTTACTTAGAAAGAACAATCCAATATTTAGATTTTGGGTATCCTTTTGTTGATCGGTCTGTTTAAAATTAATCATAGCATCAGACTAAAAAAGCTTTTGAAAATAACAGAATATTTCGATTAAGGTCAAAATAGGCTATAATATTTGTAAATCTGACTCTGAAAGAGTCAGTGCCTCACCAGCCATGAACCTCACCGCACGTCACTGCTATCCATCTCCCCAGTGGATATGTATCCATAGCACCACTCTCTGAAAAAGTTAGGTGGAGGACCACCTTGTACTATACTGACTGCCATAATCTCTCCAGCTGTCCTGCATTAACAAAGTGTAATCATGCATAGACATTATTCATAAATAAAATAAACATGGAAAAGATATTGCAGAACACAATTCTACATACTTGAAATGCTCTTTGTGGTAGTCAGTAATTGAGTACTTGGGGGTTTTCCCTGTACTCCCTCCCTGAAAAAACTTCCTTTCAACACCTGCCATCATTTCTATAATTGAAAGGAAAAGTGGATCAATACATTGATAATCTCAATTAGACCACTGTATATGTTAAAGAACAGCACGCGTCACCCTTAACCTGTGCAAGCTCAGAAATTGCATGCAACCAGAGAACCGCCACACACTGAGGAATATTTTCATTTATTATAAGGGAGGTAAACATATACCTGTTAAGAATTCTTTCCTGAGAGCCCCATGGTCAATTCCAGACTCTCCAATGAAAGACACTCGGAGGGGTTTTTTGGGAGAAGACCTCTTCTGACGTCTCCACTGCCCTAAACCCCTTTCAAAGATTTCCTCCCTAGTGACACTAACATTAAAGAGTGTCGTTGTGTCCACTCGTCCACTAAGTGTTTCGATGGCTTCAGCAAGACTTGAAGGAAACAATTAGAAGTTGATTAGACAACTGGATCCAAAACGTTTTCCCTTAAGAGACCCCTTTTGTATCATTGAGTAAACTGACGACCCCTGACTGATGTGGCCTCTTTTAAATGATATTCAAGGCATAACAATAACAATGCAGAGCAACTGATGAACGGTACAACACAAATAGTGAACACAATAACTGCAGGACGTTTGTTTAAAATAAGCAATTACAGGTACATTTGAAGCATATTACCTTTTCACTCGCCCTGTCAGTTCTTCACTGGCATGTTCTTCCAAATCGATCATTTGTGTCGACTGCAATGTATTGATGAGGGAAAAAAGATTTCAATGGGGCATGCCTTAATCATGGTTTACACTATCTAACACTGCAAGAAAAAAGTATATAAAGAATGTGCATAATAGGAGAAAAAAACCCTTTCTCTACAAGTGCTGGCATGTATTTCAACAAAACACTCAGGAAATAACTCTGAGCACAGGACAGGACAGGACACCTTTAAAAATACAGAAAAGCAGAGCAAATATTCAAGTGAATTACTGAGACGCAGAAACCTTCATCATCTGCAATAATTGATAAATAATGCCCTGATTTGACCTTAATATCGATTTTAGAACAGGAGGTCCTACACGGGAGCACACTTGGAGAAGCCTATAATAAAATGTAGAAAGACTTCCAATTAATGACACATACAATGAAGATTGTTTAGAAACAAACACCTACAATATTAGTGAGCTTACATTCCCAGGATTGCTTGTAGCTGGAGACTCATCTAAATCTGGGTCCAGATCCTGAAAATCGTAACCAGTTAAAAAAAGCTGTGGATTCAGTATGACAATGATCCTGCATAGTTATTTGTGGAATAACATTACCGGTTCCAGATCCATGCGATCAGAACAGCTGCTTGGTTCACACTCTTGTGCGTGTAAAGCCAACAGCTGGACAGGCATGCTTAGATGACACGTGGCACATCTGGCTTTTGGCATATTTTCAAACTCCTTTGATGAGTAGGGCAAGGGGGAGGTGTCTAAAGTGTCCTGGATGGGCATTATATAGAGACAGCCTTTTCCACCTAAAGCTTTGGCAAGGTAGGCCCCCGTGTAACCCTCTGCCTCAGGTGCCAAGCAGCTGGCCTGATCCTCCTATGTGGGAATGTGTACAAACAGGATGTTATTTAATGCACAGAATGTTCTAGGGGAGGCAGTTGATTTTAACAAGATGCACACTTGCAGGCTTTCTCATGGATTGCTAAAAACAAGAGGGTAGGTAAATATGCTAACCATCAAGGGCATTGAGCTATTATAAGAGCAGCTATTGTAGGAGAAGATAGAGGGTTTAACTGCAGAAATACTAGACCACAGTTGAATGTAATAATGGAGATGTTATCTTACCAGCAGCTTTACGTAGCATCCAGGCCCCTTCGTACCATTTAGGAATATGATTGCATAAGTATATATGATATCTATGTGGGAAGAGCAAAACAAGTGTGCAGTTAGAACTATAACCCTCCACACATGTCACCTCTGTTGAAGCTGATTTGGGACCAGTAGTACTTCAGTGGATTGGGAAACTACAGTAATACATACAAAATGTCCCCAAATTGGGATCAATAAAGTGCTTCTTATATTATCTTGACTCCTTTCCTTATTATTTTTTCTATCTTACCTGGGAGTGGTCAGCATTTTGGGGATATTGAGAGTCCTCCTGCCAAGTCCAGCCTGGAGAAGGACCATTTCATCCGATGGTGTTCTTTCTGTGCACGTATTGAGCAGAACTGGATTGGGGTTGACCTAAGAGCCCTTCTTTTGGGAGATATAGCTTTTACCGGATTTGAATAGGCCGGGGAAAGCCCTGAGGAGTTGAAAACAATGTGTAAGAGAGGCATTTAAGAAGCTGTTATACAATATATTCATTCTAAACAATCTGAAGAGCGTTCATTTCTATTAAAAAATACCCTGAATTATAGCCCAGTTATTACAATGACAATTCAGTTCAGAACTATCTTTATTTCCTAACGGATCCAAACCGGGCCATATTTTGATCCACTGTATTTCCTGCTGTAGAAGGAAAGCCAGGGGTCCTTTGTTGCTGCTGCCCCTGGACTGCCTGACGCTGCCTTGTCCCAGCCTGCTGCCTGTTGCCAAGAGCAGACTGCTGCTGTCCCTGTATAGTAGGCTGTCTGTTGCCCACCTCCACCTGCTCTCCCTGAACCTGTACTTCATCTGTGAACACAATTTAAAGATGTCTATGATTCCCTAGAATCTAAATAAACTGAGTACTAAATACGTAAAGTAGTTAGAATATATAAAGGCTTCATTAATTAAACATTACCCAGATAGTCACAAGCCCTGAAAATAAATAGAAGAAGAACAAGAAGAAGATGAACCTTTAATTATCCCCCATGGGGAAATTCAGTTTTTCACTCTGGTTTTAATATAGGTTGGTAAAACTGTCACTGAAACACCTCGGCGTGCTTCCGCCGGCCAAGACTGCAGCTGTAATTTTTTGTAAACGGCTGACCATTAGATGAATCTGTGAAGTGATCTCCCCCTAGTTTCACTTACGATTTTGAGAAGTTGGTTCAGCCAAGGCACTTCTCAGCAAGTCAACAACACGCCTGGTAGCATTTTGTAACTCTATCTGTTAAAACAGACACAAACAAGAAATAGTCAAATTGATTGTCACAATCACAGTGCAAAGACATGTCGTCTTGTTTATCCAGATCTGCTGACAGTTCACTTTAGCTAACTTTTATTATTGCGGGCAGACAGCTGTGTCACTTTCTTCTTATACCGTGGCTTGTAAATAATGCAATGTCAATATCTTAAATGCCCGTCAAGCAGATACAATTATAGTTATGTTAAACCATAGTTTTCTATATGCATAGCTAAAAGTACCGGTAGTTTTTTTGTACGTACCTCCTTGTCGTCAGCCATTCTTCTTCTGCGGGGCTTTCCCGCTCCGATATCTCTCGTCATTTGAAAACGGCCAATCATAAAAGAGGAGGGGTGTAACCAATTAGATTTGGCGTTACTGGGACACGGTACGCCCACTTCCTAAAATTTCTCCGCGAGTGAGAGCAGGCCAGAGTTTCACGAGCAGAAGAGTAGTGATGGGAATTATGGCTCTTTGAAGGGAGCCGGATCTTATGGCTCCGTTCCTTTCAAAGAGCCGTTCAAAAGAGCCGTTCAAAAGAGCCGTTTTTTTAAAAAGGGGGCGGGGTTACTAGGTTTATCTGCGAAATAATCACCAGGATAATGATTGACTGCATTGCCAGACCTAATGTCAATAATCTGCATTGTAAACATGACACAAGGTGGCGCCATATCCATGTCATCATGTCAGTGAATGTACTTTGAATTTACCCTCTGCATGTGTTAAGTAAATAAAGTTGCCTTGCCTTGAATGAAATTCATGCAACTCTTAATATTAGTAGTGTGTTTTTAAGTGGCGATGGAGATTATTTGTTGACCCTGCTTTAAAGGATATTTTGCCTTTACAAATGGTGCGCTTTATCACTGCCTGGGTTTTGGTTGAAGTGCATCCAAATGCTGCTGCGTTTTCGCGTTTGGCTCATTTTCCATCCGAAAAACACGTCGTCTATCTGTCCAGTACCACTTGTTATGACTTCTCTCTCTGGCGTATTCCGTTAAGACCCACCCCACCTAACTCCTCGTGCTGAAACCTACCAATCAGAGTAGGGGCGGGTCTTCACAGAATACGTTTGGGGAACAAAATCAAGCTTTTTAAAAGGCGAGTGAATTTTGGCAGGCAGTGAGTGCGGACCAACTTTGATTGAACGATAAGAAGAACGGCTCTCACCAAGTACGACTCGGTTCCCCTCGTTCGTACCAAAGAGCCGTTCAAAAGAATCGGCTCGTTCGCGACCGACACATCACTACAGAAGAGCAGGAATTGCTCGCGAGAGCGCAGGAGAGCAAGGAGAGCTCATGTAGATGCTGCACATGCTCAAGGCATGTTTCTCCCCTGCAGGCTTCAATATTGCTCTCGCGCGAGTGCCGTTTTAGTGCTCGTGAAAATAATATACGTCCGCGGCTGCTTGACTTGTGCTCGCGTGGATCTCATATGCCCTCGTGATTTATGACAGAGATTTGCCGCCATAAGTTTGGCCCAATCCCAAACCACGCCCTACACACTACCCCTCCGTTTGCGCGTTCGCGTGGAGGGTCCGCCACATTAAGGTCTGTTCCAAACCAACGAGTGTGGAGCGGTGTGGAGGGGGAGTGGGCTATCAAACCCTCAAACAGCGAGTCTGCAGCGGTGCTGACTGGAGACCGGTCTCTACCTGAGACCGGTCTCTACCTGACCGGAGTCACGCTGCGCGTGTCCGTCAGGAAACACGCTGCGCGTGTCCGTCAGGAAACACGCAGCGCGTGTCCGTCAGGAAACACGCTGCGCGTGTCCGTCAGGAAACACGCAGCGCGTGTCCGTCAGGAAACACGCTGCGCGTGTCTTTCAGGAAACACGCTGCGTGTCCGTCAGGAAACACACTGCGCGTGTCTTTCAGGAAACACGCTGCGCGTGTCCGTCAGGAAACACGCTGCGCGTGTCCGTCAGGAAACACGCTGCGCGTGTCCGTCAGGAAACACGCTGTTTACAAACAGTTCCAAACATCCACTGATAAACTGCGATGTTAACAACCTCATGATAACCTCATATGTTTTTAACTTAGGATCATACCTGTGTTTAGTCTAGAAAAAGGTAAATGTGTGCATTTTATTATAAAGTTGTGTATATTTACAGACTGTTGCAAAAACTAAGAAGCTTATAAACATCAGGTTTAAAACTAAAAGAGCTTTACAAAAAAGTAAAACAATTAAAGATGTTTGGAGTTTTATTTGAGTTCTTAATTTACATGTTTTGTCAAAGAGATGCTGATTTGATACCGTTGTTACAGTTACGGCATTTCCTGTTTCTGAGGAGAGGGGAGTTTGTCCCAAAGCTTGCCGCTGTATTTACTCCCTCCATCTGACAGGAGGAGCCTCGTTGAGCTGAGAGTGTGGCTACAGACGGAGTTCACTCCGCCACGGAGGGGTAGGGTCGAGGGAGTGGTTTGGGATTGGGCCTTAAACTCGTTCACAGGTGTGCCAAGATGGCGGCGCGCTCAGACGCTGCGGCTCACGGCTCTCTGTTTTGGTTGTGCACTGTTTGTTTTTTGTTTGTGTGCGTGAACACCCTAACAGGCGAAATACATACAATCGCATGGACTTATTTGACATCAGGATGAGTTGTCGCTCTGACATCACAGCCGATTTCCACCGGACTAACAACATCCCGGAGGACATAGCGAGACCACTCGGGTCTCCCTGGATTGTTTTCGGGCCTGTGAAGCAACGCAGGCGCCGGAGGGAGAGGAAGCAGAAGAGAGGAAGCAGAAGAGAGGAAGCAGAAGAGAGGAAGCAGAAGAGAGGAAGCAGAAGAGAGGAAGCAGAAGAGAGGAAGCAGAAGAGAGGAAGCAGAAGAGAGGAAGCAGAAGAGAGGAAGCAGAAGAGAGGAAGCAGAAGAGAGGAAGCAGAAGCGAGGAAGCCGTGCAGGCCTGCTTGCTCGGCTAAGGAAGCGGCCGCACCGACCACCACCACCAAGCCTCTTCCTCGCAAATGCCAGGTTCATCGTCCACACAATCTACGAACTGGAGGTACTACTAGCTGCTAACACGAACGTACGCGACTGCTGTGTGATGATCATCACGGCATCCTGGCTACACTCGCGGATTCCAGAC